TCTACCAGGTTATGGCAGACTTGTCAAGAACAATGATAAATAAAATTGGCGAAGAAATAGCATAAGTTTCCGATATGCATGCATGCAATGTTTACAACAGGTTAGAAGCAAAAACGTTTCTAGTTATAATGACTTGGCAATTAAACTTACATATACTATTAGAATATAGCCTGTAGGTTTGTTTATTTGAACTTCGATTTATAAAATTTACATATATCATCTTGCAATATTCATAACAGATATATTGGCGAGCTCCTAACTAATAACTAAAGTGCTACTACCAGGAAATATAAATATACATCACACTGAAAAAATGTAGTCAGAGATGGTGGCTTTAAATAAAAATTATAAGGTACATAAATACGTCACTAACCAGAGCACTAGCACTTAAGCTTGATATGTGGACCTTCAGTTCAGAATTTGAAAGAAACAGTCATTTAGCTTCTTTTTTTTTTTCATATAAATGATTGTATTATTCGAAGATCTTTAGTTACTTTGTCTTTTCAATAAAATTGAGTGCTAAATTGCTTTTCTGTTACTTGGTATATCTTAATAAGTGGAAATTGTAAACAAGTGGCCACTATCATAACTATTACAATTTTAAGAGATACTTTTAACAAAAAAAATTGAAATCTCAATGTTAAATATATGTGGTGATGTGTATGTTGAGTAAATAAAATTTATTAACAAAAAGGAGAATATTTCAGCTGATCGAAAAAACACTGTCCAGAGATTCCACTAACAGGGTATGGTTTATATTTCTTCAATCATGACTAGCTATAGGTTACTTTGCATTATATTTATGTGTTGTCTTCACATGTAGGCAGAGATGTCACTAAGATTTCAAGTTGCCGGGTAAATACAAGAAGTAGGCGGGGAATCAAACAGCTAGGGATTTCCTTCAACCACGACAGGATTAGCTCAGTCGGTAGAACGCTTGACTGCAGAGCCGGGGAGGTCGTGGGTTCGATTCACGGGGTCGGACCAATACTTAGGGTCTTAAAATAATTGAGAAATGAAGGTACTACCTTTTGCCCTACAAATAGCTACACCTTCGCGTGGCTCGGATGACCACGTAAAATGGCGGTCCCGTCTCCTGCAGGAGACGTTAATATGGTGTCCCCAATTAGCACTTTCATGCTAAATACATTGACACTCAAATAAAGTGCATTTTTTTGTTCTATCTCTTCTTCTATTTTCCTATGCGACTGGCCGGGAGGAGTCCATACTCCTCCCAAGGATGGTCTTTTGGTTTTAATGCCCCCACCCCTCTGGAAATTCCAGTTTAGTTTCATACCTTCACTGAAAAAATTTTGGCCTTTAACACCTCCTTTCCCTTTGGAATTTCCAATGACCATCCTTGCGGTGGGTAGAAAAGCTAGAAATTTAAATAATAACTTTTTTTCAGCTGTATTTACAGCTGCAAAGCCACTTTTCTACCATAAAACGAAAACAAGTTAAAATCTAAAAGAGTAGAGACAAGAACGTGAACCGAACTTATATACATCTTATATAGGGAAATAATCTGCATGGTTGTGTAAGCATTATTATACAGTCACATCTGCCCATTGACATGTCATTAGGATATAGTCATTAAATAAAATGATTCAGCATTATGCATGCTTGATCTTTCATGTTTCTAAGGGACAACAAAAAATGGATCGTGTTAGGTCGCTTTCCTAATCTGACAAAAACTTGCGTCCAAGTCTTCGAAAAATTTCAACATTCTCATGAAAGTAATTTTGTTTGTTTGCTGAAAGAAAATGAGCCGTGGACTACTAGAAATTAATACATTGGACAACAAAGAACTGACTGAGCCTTAGTTGACAGTCATCGGAAATTTTTGATTTGAAACTAATGGAAGAAATGGCAAGATTAATAACAAAATTCTAGAAAATGGAGTAACCAATTTGCTTAATAACAAAGAATAGGTATTAAGATCCTTGGTGGTGTATAAGAATCCTTAAAGATCTTGACAAGACGTTTGAAGATCCTTGAATATCCTTGAAGATCTTTTGTAGTATTTAAAAAATTTCTGATAGGATTATTAAAGATCCATAAAGATCTTAACAAGACCTTTAAAGATCCTTGAAGATGATCGAAGATTGTCACAAGATCTTTGAAGCTCCTTAAATATCCTTTACGATCTTTGGTAATGCTAAAGATTGTTAAATAGGACTAGTAAAGATCTATAAAGATTTTGCCAAGGTCTTTGAAGATCCTTAAAGATCCTTGAGGATCGTTGCAAGATTTTGGAAGATCTCAAAAATCTTGGTAAGAAAATTGAGGATATTGGCAAGAATTTTAAGGATCCTTGACGATCTTTGCAAGGATCTTTGAGGATCAAAGATCTTTACTAGGATCCTCAAGGATCTTTCTAAAGATCTTTAAAGATCTTAGAAGATCCTCAAAAGATTTTCACCAGGGATCAACAGCTACCGACTGGGGAGGGTTTCAGATATGCCACTACATAGTTCAATCCAAGGTCTGTCTCAGTTAACCAAACTGCGCTTTGAGAGTTTGTAGCTGTGGCGGTAGCGTTTTACACTCCAAGTGGTCTCCATAAAAATCACAGACAGAATCGAGATCCTCGGAAAAATCCTTCCTGTTAACTGCATCTACACTTTTGCGAATGATGGCCTATTCATCAATCAACTTCTGTCCAGGTCACGCAAGGAAATACTATCCAGATCTAAAGTCTTTTCTCTTAGGTGAAATTCAAAAGACTGTAGGATTTTGATCTATTTATAAAATCACAGAATGTTTCTTCTACGAATCCTAATACATCAAATCGCCTCATACAGTGTATGATCATCTGGTCCAAGGATCTTAGCTTGCCACGCTAAAGTATCTCAACCTACTCAATTTTGAGTTGACTAAAAGTTGAAAGTTGGTGGGGCAAATGCCTCACCTGCAGCGCCGCCCTCGAAACGCAGGCTAGGTCATTTAGGACATATAAGGGAACGACTTTAGCTCCTTTAGAACCTTTTAAACAAGTTCATTTGAAGGTCCACTGGCTTCAGTGTAAATTTTTTTTCAGTTGTAACTTACCATCTATTTTCACGAAAAAATTAGTTGAAAATCACGAATATCGGATAAAAGATTTTAAAGTTCACGTATCACGACAAGCAAACCATTCACAGTTCGCGAATTTTAATTTGAATTCGTGTTTTTACCTTTCACGAAAATTCAAAACATTTAATCCCGTATCACGCAAAAATCCCCTTTCCCCACTCTCTGAAAGAAACAGAACTAGTTTATGTTTAAGTTGTTTCTGCATGCAGGAAACAAATCGAATTTCATCTGTGAAGAACTTAAGGAATTAAATCAAATGGATATGAGGCTCCACGTTTCACTCAGTTAAATTCGACATATTTACATTTTAAATGCGGCTCTTGCTGCATCTTCGACTGAGGCCCGTTTTAAACGTCGAATTTCATATGTAGAGAGCCAATAAACTCGGGAATCAAATGCATATGAAGTCGACGTTTACTCGGCTAAATTCGACAGATTTGAATTAAACATACGGTCACTTTTGTCGCATTAGCCTTTTGAAATATAAGTCCAACTTAACAGGAAACGAACTGAATACATAAATGCTTATGTTGAGGTATTTTTTTAATGTTAACATCAATTGTGATAAGCTATTTATGATTTACAAGTGTGACCAAGTATGGACGACAAAATAATGACAAAGCACTGTCACTCGTAAGAACCAGAAGCTCGTAACTTACAATCTGATTGCCATCACGACAACTAAAACTAACGCCAGTTTCATTTTAAGGCTCGGTAAAGGTTTCTTAAAAATCGGCAGAAACACACGGAACTTACCCGGCCAGACCGTTCATGTTCGATTAAAAATTTATTCCTGTCTAGCAAGACAAAGAGAATCAAACTTTTGAAAATTTTATAATGATAAGAAGAGTCTAAGAAGGAAGACTACATCAAGGAAGGGAAAAATTTCACTTATAGTAGGTAAATATTTCGTTGTTGAGAATTTGGTCACCGTTTTAGAACGAACACAATCACGACTACAGTAGCATGTTCTAGATACGATGAAGCCATCTCCTTAATCTTTCCTCTTGTAATTCGACTTTAAGATCCGACGAAACGACGGCAACGAGAACGTAACAAAAGCAAAACAAACAAGAAACAAAAAAAAAATACGTTTAATGGCCAAAATAGCCACTTTACCCCTGAATCACACTTTTTCGTACATCAGTTTCTTTGAAAATTTGGGTACGAATACTTCGTGAAAAATGCGTAATCGCCCTAATTTCACTTTTCATGGAGAAGGTAAACAAGTAACGGCGAAATTTTCTTTCTTTTTCTCAGGTCTCTAGGAATTCAAGCCCTGCATGTTGGGTTCGCCTACATTAGACAAAGTAAGTGGTTAGGAAAAATCGCGATAAAGATTAAGAGAGTGCAAATTCATAGCGTCCGAGTGACTCTGGGAACTAGTTAACAATTATTTCTCGAGCCCGCATGGGCTCTGAGTCAATAGCCCATGAGGCCGAAGGCCGAATGGGCTATTGAC